GAGGCAGGAACCCATCTATATGCTCAGCTGCAACATTAAGAAGCCCTGCATGATGGTCGGAGATCAAACATATAGTGCGAGTTGGGACAAACACTTGCACACGTAGAAGCCGCATGAACCATGACCACGATTCATTGTTCTCTCCCTCTGCCAAAGCAAATGCCATGGGTACTATCTGGTCCTTAGGATCAACAGCAACAGCCATCATCAAGGTGCCCCTGTACTTTCCTGTCAGGAAAGTGCCATCAACAAGTATGACTGGCCGACAAAACTAGAATGCATGTTCCGTTTGCGCAAACGACCAGAACACACGATAGAGGACATGCCTCAATGGGTCTCAAAAAAACATCCCTCCGGTGTCCACAAACTATTTCAAGCCAGGGTTGCAATAATGCATTGCACATAAGATGTGGGGCACCTTGTTGTACGCTTCCTCCCAAGTACCCCATCGAATCGCCAGAGCAATTTGCTTAGCACGCCAAGCCTTTTCGTACGTCACATCGTACCTAACAAATCCAGATATAGACTGTTGTAAAGAAGACACTTAGATGTCGTTATTGTCATCAATGAGCTCCAATATACGACGGGCAAGGTAACGTGCAGTGAGTTGCTGATGATTTTCCTTCCCCCTATTGTCTAGGCAAGTGTGGGGTTCAACAACTTTAGTTATCCTCCACTTGCCATCACTCTGTCTCCTTCGTGCATTTAACCTCCATAGACAACCGTTTTTGCATATCAAGTGGTACCTCAACTCCTAGTCCGAATGAGTGACGGTGTATGGTCTATGGTGGTACACAACATAGTCCTGAAGGAAGAGTTTTATCTCTGACATTGTGTTGAATATCATCCCCTTCCTAAGGGTTTCTTTCTTATGGTTATACAATGAATTCCTACACAGTTGGAGATCGGTATCACAAACTGTCATATCCGTCATGCTGACATCACTATAGTTCGGAACGCCCTTGAAAGGTACGTTCTTAGACCTTAGTTGCTCAAGCTCAGTCGCTGTGTAAGGTGGTGGTGGAACATACTGCTGCGCTTCGCTAATTCTGTCCCATGAATCATAGGAGGTATCATCTGCAGCTAAATCTATGACTAGTCTATCCTGAGCATGGACACCTTGCAAAACCTCAGTTGGTACTAGTAATAGCATAGTATGAACCGAGATGGCATGTCATCAGCCGTTGTTGCAATAGCATCTGTACCTCCTTGGTCATCATCAGAATCGTCTGAATCACTACTAACTACATCACCGATCCTGTCCTCCTCCTCCTGCTCCTCCTCTTCCCGTTCGAACTCATTCACATCGAAGTCATTGCTTATACAGCCTACTACAGTTGAATGAAACTGCTCCTACGTCAACTGACCGTCCAAATCCTTGTTATCCTGAATTGCTTCCCCTTTGACCCCTAATTCTTTTTCATTGCCTCCAAAACCATTAATGGACGGGCCGTTCTGAACACCATGCATCTTGTACCTATTCTTCACCACCACCTCAGCCATGGGCACATTGAAACCTTGGAGAACCCTAGTGTAGCGGGACCAGTGAGCAGGGTCACGCAAGGGCATGATGACATAGTGTGCCCTAGTCTTCCCAGTATCAAACCTCTCCTTCAGTGTGAAATCACTGCCAAACTTTATATTCAAACGGACACAAAGGTTGTTGAAGCTAGGAGGTTGATGTGGACAAGGATAACTCAACCTCAACTATGATTCAACAGTTTGTTATAGCTATACCTGCAAAACTGGGCCATGTTTCTGCATCCTTATTCTATATCAACAGAAAGATATTGAAGTCTAGTTTCCAACGCAACAAACGGTGCATCTTTTGGACTTCCGAGCTAAGAGTTATGATCGTTTTAGTGGAAGGTGCACATGCAGCCCAGCACCTACGCGAGAATTGAAGAGATTGCTTGAGTTCCCACTTTAGTTGGCCAAAAGTAAAGAGGACCTTTGGTATGGTGGTTAGCACCTAGATTAAGTGTCAACTTTTTGCATACTTTTCGTCATTGTATAAATACCCATGTAATCCTTCTATGTAAGAGTCTCTTTTGGTTAAAATACAGCCACCTTGTGTGTGTTTTTCTCCTCTCATGGAGAGAATATTTGGAATCTTTGGTAAGGCCATGCAACGATAGTTATCAAGTTTACTTATGCTCTACTATGAAGATCAGGCCATACAAGTTTACTTATGCTCTACTATGAAGATCAGGCCATTCAAGTTGTAGTCGTATGTTCCATACACGTACACACTTCATTTGGTATTTAGAGCCTTGGTTGTCATGGTGTGAGCTGATTATCCTTACAAGCTTCCTTCGCAGATTGGTATTCAATTCCTAGATAATGTTGAGTCAAGTCAGAATGCTAATAGAGTGTCTTGAGAGATTTAAACATTGGTTTCCTCTCATTGCGTCGGGTCAATTTGATGGTTTGGTTCTCACTATATGGAGTTGTTCTCAGTTTGCGCTCGAGTTTGTAGTTATCTTGCGTCGTCAAGTCTTATTTTTTTTGTTCTTTCTTTAGTCAAGTTTCCAATAATGTTCGTCCAATGTTGATGCTACGAGCACGAGTCGAGGACGACTCGTTTCGAAGGGAGAGAGAATGATGTGGACAAGGATAACTCAACCTCAACTATGATTCAACAGTTTGTTACAGCTATACCTGCAAAACTGGGCCATGTTTCTGCATCCTTATTCCATATCAACAGAAAGATATTGAAGTCTAGTTTCCAACGCAACAAACGGTGCATCTTTTGGACTTCCGAGCTAAGAGTTATGATCGTTTTAGTGGAAGGTGCACATGCAGCCCAGCACCTACGCGAGAATTGAAGAGATTGCTTGAGTTCCCACTTTAGCTGGCCAAAAGTAAAGAGGACCTTTGGTATGGTGGTTAGCACCTAGATTAAGTGTCAACTTTTTGCATACTTTTCGTCATTGTATAAATACCCATGTAATCCTTCTATGTAAGAGTCTCTTTTGGTTAAAATACAGCCACCTTGTGTGTGTTTTTCTCCTGTCATGGAGAGAATATTCGGAATCTTTGGTAAGGCATGAGTGCTTTGCAACATTCGTTCTTTCGACTCCTGAGGGGGTTGTAGAACACCGAACTTCACTTCATCCATTTTGTGCCTTCATGTCTATATGGCGTGATTGCGTGGACTAGTTTTATCGGTGCATGGAAGGGTGGATGTCTCGGCAGTTCGTCGTGGGTGCAAGATCTCGTGGTGCGCTACCTCTCCATCAAGTCATGCAACGATAGTTATCAAGTTTACTTATGCTCTACTATGAAGATTAGGCCATACAAGTTGCAGTCGTGTGTTCCATACACGTACACATATCAGAGGTTTATCAAACCATTCCAATTCTTCTTCCATATCCTCAAATATACCATCCTCTCTCCTAACACTTCCTCCGTACAAAACTCTAACACAACAATCCATCTGCAAAAGCATTTTAAGAAACTTCATTAAGTCGTCGAAATCATCGTACGTAATGTCCATACTAACATTAATACATTTTCTAACTATAACTATACTAACTAATCAAATATTAACATCTATACAAGGCTAATTACAACAACTAATTACACTAAATCCAATATACAACTAGAGTCAATAACTGTACTAACTAAACTACCTAACTTTACTACCTATACTAACTTATTATATTACCTATACTAACTAAACTAACTAACTTTACTAACTATACTAACTATACTTTAATAATTTTACTAACTTTATTAACTGTGCTAACTATATTAGTGGAGTACCGTCGCAGTGAAAGGTGACCGGGCCGGAGGCCTTGGCGCAGTTTAAGCGGCGAGCGGCTGCGTGATGATCGGAGGTTTCGCCGGGGGGGGAGGCGGCTGTGGCTTGGCGTGCTGGGCGGCCAGATCGGACTGGCTTTGGCGCGCTGCCGGTGGCGGCTTTGGTGGCGGCTGGCGTGGCGTGACGCGGCGTGGCGGACGGCGTGTGCAGGCGAGCGGCGTGGGCGCGCGGCGGCTGTGTACTGCGCGCGCTAAGGCGCTTGTGATTATTGGGCGATGTGGGCGTATGCGGCAAGGTTATACCGAGCCCCGCCAGCGCGCCACGGATCGAGGCGGTCGCGCTAAGATCGATGGCGTGGCAAAGCCTTGCTGCCACGTCGGTGGTCGGCCGCTTCGGTCGTCGACACGTCACGACCTCTCTGCTGCGCCACCATGCATGGCACGGCACAGGCATTTGGCCGTGCCAGGACAATAGGCGCTGCCAAAAGTGTTAGTTTAAAAAAAATCCGAGAGTGTTAGATTTAAAATTAGTTTCGAAAAAGCGTTAAAATTAAAAAAAAATCTTTTATTGTAAAGAAAAATATTGTGACTGATAAGTTCCGATACGCATCCGTGCAGTTCATAATAAAGGCATCTGCGACATGCAATGCAACAGTGCTATAATCGGAGAAAAGGGGTTGCCACTACGGAGTACTCAATCCATACTAAATTGTAAGACGTTTGACTTTTTTGACACCAAGTTTTACCACTCGTCTTATTCAAAAATTTGTGTAAAATATCACTTCTTTCGTCGTGGTTTGGTTTACTAATAAAAATTCTTCAAGAATGACTTAAATTTGACTATATTTGCATAAATTTTTTAAATAAGACAAGTGGTCAAACTTGAGATCAAAAAAAGTCAAACGTCTTACAATTTAGGATGGAGGGAGTAGTATTTATGAACGATTCATATTTATTACTGAGCCAATGTTCCATGTACAGTTCTTTTCCTTTCGGTGAGCGTCAACCCGCCCCACTCGCTTCATATAATACAGGGTCAACGCATATAAATATACACCATGGATGGGCGGGCGATGGCCTGATGGTGTTAGCATCAGAATGGCCTGAGGGTGAAAGAAAGAATCGACAAAATTGATTCTAAGGTGAAAGAAAAGGAAGGGGGAAAAATACAGCTCCTATGTGCAGCTGAAGCAAACAGAAGAAAAACAATCACGGCAAAAACCTCCCCATCGAGTCTATGGCCCTGCCTCAATCTTCTCCACCGTTTCTAGTCTCGTCTTCCGTTTCCACCCTTTCATGGTGGCCACCAGGTTAACTAACCCGACTACCTGACTTTTGCTGTATTCCTGTTGAGTTCAGAAACAGCAGTGTTTAAGTTCATTTGTACCTCCACATAGGATCAATGGGAGATGGAGGTTTTGCAGGGATCTTACTGGATGAGACCGCGCCCAGTGGACGTACTCAGTCTCCGGTAAATAGTAAGCCTGTTTGATTGGCACAAGAGTTGTTAGCAGCAATTCCCTTTGCCAAGATTTCACTAGTATAAGAACAAAATGAACACAAATGAAACTGCTGTTCATGGAGAACCCCTAGGACTGCAGAATGGCAAATGCTCTCGGCAATCAGAACGTGCCACCACTAAGTAACCAGGTACCGTAGGAACTGGGCTACCACTAATTTGCTCTGCTTACCTTTATGAAAGTGTCCACAGTTTGCAGCTTCGGCCTTACATTTGATGATACAATGTGCTGCAACCCATTAATTAGTACCTGAAAGAACATCAAAGCCGTTACTATGGATTCCTCCATGGCATTCACTTCCAAATATTAAATTGAAAAATCAAGACCTGGAGGTCAAGTGACATCAAAGCACGCCCCTCGTCAGTGCACCTTTTCACTCTAGAGAGACCTTCAACTAAAACTTCCGATATGCTCTCTACGCCATACTCTATCAAAAGGTGTTGGAGCTGGGAAGCACATATGTGAATTTACTCTGGTTGTCAGTAAATTCATCATCAAACGATTCATAAGAAAGAAAGAACAGCATCCTTTTCAGGATGAAGCAGAACAAACTCTAGTAAGTTCATTACTTAGCACCAGGATAAAAATAAAACAAAGTGAGGTCAAAAGAAAGGGGGAGGAAAAAAGAAAGAGAACTATTTATTAGTTCTCTCACACTGACCTCCTTAGAAATTCCTCCATGGTCCAATCTTGTTTTGTAGTGTTTGAACTCACCCAATAACAAATCAACATATCTGCAAATAACAAACACTTGGTCACTGGTGCAATTAAAAGTCACAGCAGTAACTGCAGTCTTTGCTCTGATTCTGGAAATAGAAATCATTTCCCAAGCCTCTTATACTAAAGAATCAGGCACATTTAGTCCTGTGGCCTGTATTATACACATAAGTATTAGACTGCAGATTTTGCTATATATTAACACAACCTGCAACGCATTCTGTTACGTCATAAATGGGTTTAACACTTCAATTTCAAATTTGTTAGCACATGGGCAAAAGGTGCAATTTTGTCTGAAAGAAATATAACCAGATATATAAAGGAAACACTAATATATATGAGACAATTTCAAATATTGGGGGGAAAGTCCAATTTACTCTCCCCTGCACATGAACATTTTCCCGATAACCCTCTAAACTGATTTTGTGTTTAATCGACCCCTCTAGATCTTTCAGTTAGTCCAATCTACCCCTTAATAAGATTAGTCTTTTTTTTTGTTTCTCCGTAAATAAGTTGAGTTTTAGTTTCAATTTTGTAGGGTGATAGAGAACATCATTTGTGTTAGAAAAATACATTATGAATTTTTCATCATTATTTTAGCTCAGGCATTTAATAACAAATGAACCCTACAGATACAAAATTATACAAAAAATAATAATAATGATGAAAAAAATCATAGTGTGTTTTTTTTTCCTAACATAAGTTAGGATATTCACTATCACTGCTATCACCCTACAAAATTTGAACTTAAGACTCAACTTGTATGTGGACAAATAAAAAAGATAAATGTTATTAAGAGGTAAATGGTCACAAATTACTTTAGGGGGTTATTCAGATAACTTTCCTGTGAGCGCACTGGGGGCAGTAATTTGGACTTTTTCTAATATATTGCCAATTTGCCACAGAGCCCAACAAACACCAGATCCATGCAAAATGATGGATTAAGTACAAGAGTACAACTGAATGATATATCCAGATGGTCTACTCCACAACCACTGAAAGTAAATTACCACAAAGTGCTTTCTACAGTAATCATACAACAAAGGACATCGAGGCTGTCAAAATTAGATTTAGACATGGTGAATTGCTATAAAACTAATGTATAAATGATTATGAAGAGGTAAAGGAGAGGCTCAAGGATGCGTAACAAACAGTAGGAAAGCTGCCAAAAACAGAAACCAAAAAAGGGGGCAAAATTGTTCAAATTAAGAAGGCTCAAGCATAAACATACCCATTGTGCTCTATTCCGAGCTCCTTCACCTCCCATTTAGCATTTGCTATCTTATCTGGATACCTGAAAACACATTCAGTCCGCGACTCAACTGAGCATACATATGTCATGTGTGGTGATTCAAAACATCAAGGTATGGTACTAGTCCCTCTGTTTCAAATTGTAAGTTTAAGTTTTTTCCTATGTCAAACTTATCCAACTTTGAACAAATGTATAGAAAAATATATTAACATTTGCTATATCAAATAAAAGCACTATCAAAATATATTCCATGGTGTATCCAATGAATGTTCATGCATTTTTCTATAAACTTGGTCAAAGTTAGAGAAGTTTGACTTAGGACAAAGCTAAAAGTGACTAACAAATTGGAAAGGAGGGAGTACTATCCATCTAACTACTAACAGCATGTCAGCATCAATGGTGATGCAAATCCCGCACAAATTTATATGGCCAAAGAGAAGATAAAAAGAGAAGGGATTGGATGCTGTAACATACCCATCAATATGCAAAAGCATATGTGCACTCGTTCTGTGAATGTGCTCTGTCAAATCTGGAACAGAGTCCACCTATGACACAGAAGGTAAACTCTGAATTACATTGCAACTTTTCTATTTATGGACTACCAAATAAGCAATGAAAACCTCCCAAAGTAGAGAAACATACCAGTGTCCTAAAGAACTCTTCAACAACAGAACTGTTATTTTTAGACAATACTGAGCGTAGATGGGCTCTAGATCGGTTCAAAACTCGAGCAACCAATGATAATGTTTCAGCAGCTGCACATCTCTCCTGAGGGAAAAACAAGTTGAAATGCACTTTTTAGAACGAGGACACTGAAACTAAGAAGGCAGCGGCATGCAAAAATTATCTTTTTTTTTAAAGCATAAAGAAAAATGCATTCTGCCATACAAAATGCTATGCTTTCATAGCAACCTAACCAAGCAGAAAGGTAACTTCAGACTCCAACCAAGGTTTACATATAATAGTGGGGGACACCGGGACACATCCAATGATCCAATGGCTTATAGTAATCAAAAGGACACAATCCAGATGTCCATCGGGATTCTTTCCCTTGTCAATATTTTACCTCCATGGTACACACACCACTTGCTACTTTTGACCTCCACTCTCTACCACTGTTATTTTAGGACAAGGTATATAATCAAGTTGCAAGTCCACAAGTAACTTTCAAAGCCTAGACACTCACTAACGCCTTGTCGCCTTCTACATTGAATGCCAAAAATTTGTCATTCCGACAACCTCCAAGGTTATAGGCCTATAGCTTATTGGCATGTGATGCTTGTATGGAAACAAATAGAATAAGCTAGTACTGTCATACCATCACTTCAGTTATGGCAGCAAGGAAGCAACAATACAGAAATTCCTAAAAAGAACAGCAAACTAAAAACGAAGAATTGTCACACAGAAATGAGTAAAATGTATTGCCTAAAAGCTGAACACCTACCGATTTTTTTTTTTTTTTCACACAAACTTCGGAATGATTAACATCAATAGTTGATAAGTCGATAAATACTAATTAATTGTGAGAACAGATTAATCACATCTGCAGTAGACTTCAAGGTATATCTTCAAATTTTAGAGTTTAAGACTGCAGGAATTAGCAAAGTTGAACTCAAATGAGACAAGCTCAAGTCAAACAAGCAAAGGCAATTCACTTTTGTCTATTACAGGGCAAATGTTGCATGGTAAATATTACAACTCAGTTCCATATACAAGAAAACATGTTAAGTCTGCAAATGAGTTAGGATTACATAGGATTATGTAAGCATGCCCATGTGAAACCAGCAGTTACCTTTAACCCATAGGAGGTGAACATTGAACTGGGAGGCGCAGTAGGCATCACATCCATTTGGCCGAAAGTTGAATTCATTGACAAAGGGGATGAAGGTGAATATGAAACATTATTTGGCTTTGTCCACTGATCAGAGTCTTGTGTTATTTTTGATAAAGCGGCTTTAAGCCGAGCTGAGTACAGCGCAAGTAGTGGTAAGGACAATTAAGAAAGGCGATCATCTATGTAAGCAGTGATAGCTAAGAAATGTGTATATGAGAACATATTGTGGAGAACTAAATCCTTACATGATTGATGATCAGGTAAAGGCTTGCTGCTTTGACTCTTGTCTAGGTTCCCAATTGTCTCATATATGTAGTGATAAAAGATGCCAAACAGTTGGGAGATACCCTGAAAATTTTGTCCAGCATAATCAGACAATATTCCACAAAGTCCCCCCCTCCAACTGAGTACATGATGATGGATATGACATAACTAACCTTAAAAAGCTCAACATTGACAATTTCAAGCTTTTGCATCAGCCTGGCGTATTTGTCCATCATCCTGATTCCAGTGGCAATTTAGCCTAGGAAGCTATGCATAGAAACATTACTAAGTTAACACAAGCATTTAATACCTTAATAAAGAAAGTGATGAGCCTGTCTGCGATGAAATGTCTCCATCTTTCCAATGTGAAGAATTGCCTTTTACAATTTTCGTTTTTGGTATCCTACTAGGCAACTGACTATCTTCATCAATGAAATCCGCTAGAAGGTCTTCATTCTCTTCATCAAAAGATGAATTGTTTCCATTGCCATGATTATTGCTAACTGATGAGTCAAAAGGCATATTGGACTTTGGGGATTCAGCAGAGCCATTTTCTAGCTTAAAAGAAAATGGATTTTCAATCTTAAGCCAAGAAGCAAATCCAAGATTTTCGTTTCCTGAATTGGCTGTAGTTGAATTCCCATGGTAACAATTTATTGGCAACTTGAGACTTCTACTGGTAGGAGAGCACAGTGCAGCACCATCACCAGTTAGACCTGCTAAACTAATTATTTGTGAAGCTTCAGCAGACATTATTGTCCAAGATTCCTTTTCCAGTACCATCTTAAGTGCCTGCCAGACGAATGGCAAAACACAGTAAGTTAAAAATGCTACATGCAGAAGACACAGAGAATGACTCACTGCATAGAGAGCTAACAGTTTGCAACTCCTATCTTTGCAGTTAAGCCCAAAAGGTCAGAGTAAAACACAGTACTGACTAGAGCAACAACACATTCCCAGAAAATACACATTTGTTTCTCTCTTTTTGACATAGAACTACAATCAAACTTCATTATTAATGTATTTTCTTAAGATTATACTGTGAATGAAGTGACTTATGGTACATATCAATTGCAAACCCTTCTAATGTGGCTGCACTGACTTAATGTTCATATCAGCTGCAATCTCCTTTTGTGGAAACATAAGTGCACTGGTAGCTCATACCAAAATCAGTTACAGAAATGGGCTACTATGAAACCAGCACTACCAATGGGGAAAAGGAAAAGAAATCCGAAGAATGTTCCTAAAGACTACAAACACGCCATGAACTGCATACACATTTAAAGTTATATCTATGGCTACAGTAAAAAAGATGATAGCACTTCAATATTCACATGTTTGAACTTTGAGCACTATAATTAAGAACCGAGTCAGAGTTATTGACATACATATATATTTTGCCGGTGAAAGAACACCATGTAGTTCAAACAGACAGTCTTCAACTTCTGGCGGAACTCACTAGCTTCAAACCCACAAAATGCTTCGCCAGCCAAAATGAAAATGACAAGATCTTCATAATTCTTCAGGAATTGGTATGTGCTAGTTGAACAAACAGCTGAACTAGATAATAAAACAGACAAGCGACTTGTTGCCAGCTGCCAAAGATTTCTTCGCCCTCTTTGAAATGTTTGCGCAACAAGTTTTGTAGCATCTGTTCTAAGCTGATAGAATGGAGAACCCGTTTCTGATGTACTAGCATCAGGGTTGTTAACCTCAGATGATGATGCTCTGTCACTTTTTACAGCTGCAGAACCATCCTGAGTGACTGCTGCACTTGAATGACCTCTTCCTGAATTAACTAAAGTTTCGTTGCTATTCTGAGATATGTCATTCTTATCTGCTAGATCTGGGCCCTTGGAGTCAATATTCTGAAGAGGAAACCAATTTCATGAATAAGAACAAAACCTTATATTGAAAATTAGACTAAGTATAGATAGCATCAGATCCACATATATATGTATGTATAGGTTATTGGATAGGAGGATAGGTAGTATTAACTCAGAATTATTTCATACGGAAAACAAAAGATTATTCACCATATATTGAATATAATAAGTTCAACAGAGAATAAATAGGATAGTTGCCCCGTTCCACCAAACAAGAGAGTTTAAAACTGATAGCATTTGACATCTTTTCTACTCCAACCCAAAATATATGTTGCTTTAGAATTCCTGCTGGTCAAGCTTTTAAAACTTTAACCATCAACATATGCAGAATTACGCAGTTTGACTAAGATAGGTTTTGCTATTCATCATTATTGAGTTGCATGGTGGGCAATTCACTTATACTCCAACACTCCCCCTCATGTGGAGGCTCCCTCAGGCCTCAAACGTGGAATAGGAGTGAGCAACAATTATTTATTTAATTGTGCTATCCACGATTCGAACTCAAGACCACTGGCTTTGATATCATATTGAGATGCATGCACCAACTAGTTCAACCCAAAAGCTTAAGTTGATGGGAGAGGTGGGCAATTCACTTATACTCCAACAATCATGAAACACACCTTCATAAATTTCTACTTTCTACAAAATGCCATATTTTCATATAATTTTCTAGTCAAAATATCACCTTGTAGACCATGTGGATGTCCGAAACATCTTATATTTTGAACCAGAAGGGTTTAATTCTTCTTGTCTCCTTTTGGTTTTCCAATGCGACTATGTAGTTTATATGTTCAGTGAGGCAGAAAATGAACTTTGTAGTTTCTCATATTTGTTTGCACTAACACCCTGAGCCTAGGCAGCTTTTTTTTTACGAAAATCATAACTGTTAATCAGAGAGATGAAGGTTTCAACAATAAAGTGGACAGAAAAAAATAAATGTACCTTATCTTCTGAAGAAAAGCTCATAATAGCATAATATGAGCACATCAATGAAAATAAGCACTCTAGGGTTCTCAACAAGCAGGGGCGAAGTTTGGGTTCAGGAACTTGAACACAAAGATCACTGTATGTAAACCTGCAGAAAACAAAAAACATTGGTGAAGTGAATGCTCAGAGAAACTTGAATACAGCTTGATACAGTTTGAATGCTCAATAGGGTTCTGGCCTACCCTATTGAGCGGCAGTATTCCGATGTTCACCGCCCTGAGGTTTTGGCGCCAAGCCCTCCTCCCTCTGATGGAGGGGATGATGATGATAATGATCCTGCAAGGCGTCGGCGTCGCGTCCGTCCTCCCTCGCCGCCGCCCAGCTCGGGTCCAGCGGGTCGTGATGCTTCGTGTCATGGCGGTTCACAGCGGGGATCGATCATGAAGCAGGTGGAATCCTCTGTTCAGGGGAGATCTCACGTGGCCCACTCTCAGGCAGCGTGCTCTCAGCCGTTGGACGCGGGTTCCAAAGAGGTCCAGGTGCGTGACATTCCAGGCGACGGTCGTTCTGCCCTCAATGCTGAGACGCGCAGTCCCGAGGATGTCCCTGTGCCCGATGCGGCGGCTGCAACAAATGCAGTCGTTTCGGAAACCGCAGATGTCGCGCGCATTCAGGAGACGTCCCTGTTCCCCTCGGTGGCCTCCCCAACTATTGTGCGGTTTGAAGTGGATGCTGAGCCTTTGCCTTCGGATGGCGTCCTCGTTTCTGGCCCGGTGGATGCGGCTTCTCTTGGGCTGGACTTGGGCCCTCGGCCTGTGATTGATTCCCAATTGGCGTGCACTGGATTGGGTGAGGCTACGGTCTGGAGCTCCCCCGACCGGCCGACGGTGCCGTGCTCTTCCTTGAGCCTCCCCGTCGGAATGGCAACGGTTGAAGCTTCTCCGGCCTCACCACGCTCGCCTCAACGATCTCCCGCGTCCGTCTTCCCGGGGTTCTTCCCACCGGCGCCAAACCCCCCCTCGCCAACATTTGGCGTGGGACCCGCCCTCGCTAAACGTCGGCTTCGATGGTTCGATTGGGGAGCCCACAGGCTCGAGGCGCGCCCGCCGACCACGGTGGGGATTCCGAGGGCTCGGAGGTGATTGCTCCGCTCGAGCCTGTCCTGCCGCCCGCTCAGACTCCAAGCACCGCAGGGTGCGGTCTTCGTCTCGCCCCCGCTCCGGGTCTATTCCAGGCAACGACGCCGTGCTAGAACTCCCGCCCGGCCCTGTGGGACAGCTCCTCCCAAAGTGTCCGGGAGGGATCCCCATCACGGAAGCTTGAGAAGGTGCGCAGCCGATGGATATGCTTGTCCCTCCGCCTGTGATCCAAGCGGCAAAGAAGGCCCCTCCTTCAGGTCTCGGCGGGCATGGCATGGCGTAGCCGGCCGGGTGGTCGGGTGATCATGGCCGCCGCCCCCCGCCATCCGGTGCCGGTGCTCTCAGAGGCTCAGAAGAGGGTGATGCGACAACTTGGCTTTGAAGAAAGGGAGATTATTCAGCCGAATGCTCAAGACAATTATAGTAAGCTATTCAGGCCATTCCTCTCTTGACTCCCATGTTTGTGCTTTAGCTGCTATTTTTGGTTGGGATGTTGGAGAAGGTGAGCAAAAGTGCGGCTCATGGATGTCCTTGCAAATGATGTAAGGATTTGGTTCTTTGTCGGGTCGTTTTATTTCTTGGGTCGATGAATCCTTCGCTCTATTTTAATCTGGAAAGTGCAAGGCCTGAATCAAAGGGATCGCCGAATTCTGTCGAGAGGTTATTCTGTCCAGCAACGTTTTCTAAGGTTGCCAACATGTCCCAGCATTTGTTTCTCTCGGTTTTGGGTCTGTGTATGATAACTTCATCGCAAGCTCCCAGCCAATGGGACTAGAGGAGGGTTCTGATTGCTTGGAAAGGGTGTTCTTGCCAGCAGTGGCTTCTAGGGTAGATACTTATTCTGCTTCTGTTCTGTTTTCGGAACAAGGTGCGCAATTGGTGGTTCACTGGTGTCTATGGGCCACAAGAAGATGATGTTTCTGCAAGAGCTAAGAAATATCAGGGCCCTGTGCAATGGAGCTTGGCTTCTAGGGTGAGATTTTAATTTAATTTATTGCCGACAAGAACAATGCAAGAAAACTATGGTTGCTCTTGGGCCGAAAACATGTCCCAAACATTTGTTTCTGGATCGAGCTTTGGGTGATTGGGTATGATATGCTTCCTGCAAAGCACAGCAGCTGGTGTATCGGATCCCACCAATGGGACTAGAGGAGGGTTTTGATTGCTTGGAAATTGGGGGTGTTCTAATTTGCTGTAGAGTGCCTAGGGCTTCGGAAAATAGGGTAGATATTTGCTTGATCCTGTCCACCTCCTTACACAAGTACTGGTTAATGGAGTGCCCGAGACACTATTTTGCACCGTGGTCTTAGATTGTCACCAATGTTGGAACAATTCGCCAATTTCGATGCAGCCGCTAGAATTGGTGGTCTCCTGCTATGTTTATGATGCAGGTTCACAACTTGGATCTGGTGCAATGGGTGTCTATGGGCCAACAAGAAGATGATGAGAAGGTGATGTTTTCTGCAAGAGCTAAGAAATATCGTGGGTCCCTTGATCTGCAATGGAGCTTGAATTGCTTCTACCTCCAGGGGGAGATTTTAATTTAATTTATCACTGCAAAGCGTCCTCTCGACAAGAACAATGCTAATTTGGATAGAGCAATGATGGGAAGATTTCGAATATCTCCCTGGCGTTTTCTAGATGACATGGATCTCAAGGAGATCCCTATATATATCTTAATAGCCCTGGACCTTCCTAAATGGGTGCTTAAGGCGAAAATATACTTGGTCCAATGCCAAAGAGGAGATCGCCAGTTATATGGAGGCCTGGGATCCATAATCTTGGGTCAGGCTTAGGATCGAGCTTGCTGTTGCAGTTGATGGTGATTGGGGACAATATTTTCCTGATGCTGGATGTCCTGCAAAGCACAGCAGCAACGTGGGTGTATCGGATCACGCCCTCATTACCTCCCATTATGGGTTTGAAAGTGAGCACTAGTAGCGGCAAGCGGCGATTCCATTTTGAGAGCTTCTGGACAGGACCAAAATCCCTGGTTTTCGATGTTGTTAAACTGAATTGGGAGGCTCAGGCAGGGTACAATCTAATTGTGCTGTAGAGTGCCTATCCATTAAACTACAGCGTTTAAGGGAGGAAGAGATAGGAGATACTAACAAAAAGGTGGGGCAGCGGAAAATAGGGAACATTATTTGCTTGATCCTGTTGCGTGGCCCCCACCTCCTCGCGCTGGCGCCTCCGCCGGTGTACGGGAGTATCTGGTTAATGGAGTGCGAGCCGGAGACACTATTTTGCATCACAGAGGATGGTCTTTAGATAGGGAGACCCCTGTCACCAATGTTGTTTATCCTCGTTATGGATGTCCTCAATTCCCTGGCCAATTTTTACTACTCTGGTTGGGTTTGATGCAGCAAAATACTTGGGCTGGAGCCTTTGACAATGAGCCATTGACGAAGACGGAGAAGAACCAAGCACGGCATACGCCAGCACAGATGGTGGGTCTCCTGCTATGTTTATGATGCAGTCATATTCTTGAGACCCCACAACTTGGATCTGGTGCAATGGTGAGAGCTGTCTCACTGAGTCACCAGGTCGTGGGTTCGAAGGAGCCTCTCCGCAGATTTTGCGAGGGGAAGGCTTGCCTCTGTTTTTCCCTTCCCCAGACCCCACTCATGTGGGAGCCTCCGGCATTGGTTCTGCCCACAACTTGGATCTGGTCACTGTCAGACAGCTCCTGGAATTGTTTGGACACACCTCCAGTCTTAGAACCAACCTGTCCAAGAGTTCGGTTTCCCCTATTCATTGTACTGATGAGGAATTGGCACTCACTGCAAGCGTCCTCTCTTGTTCAATAAAGGCCTTCCCTTGTACGTACCTTGGCCTCCCACTCTCACTTGGAAAACCAACTAAGGAGGTGTTGCTGCCTTTAGTAGATAAGGTGTCAGAATATCTCCCTAGTTGGAAGGCCTCTCTAATGAACAGGGCTGGGCGGTTAGTCATGGTGAAGGTTGTGCTGACTGTTGTCCCTATATATATCTTAATAGCCCTGGACCTTCCTAAATGGGTGCTTAAGGCTATTGACAAAAATCGGTGGGGCTTCCTTTGGAAGGGTCACCAACATGCCAATGGAGGCAATTGCCTGGTAGCCTGGGAAAAGGTACAGAGACCAGTTGAATATGGAGGCCTAGGATCCATAATCTTGAGCTCCTTGGTTGGGCACTTAGGATTTGGTGGTTGTGGGTTCATGAGGGCTTGAAAAGACAAATGCTGAAAGGCCTTTTAACGGCGTCTCTTTCTATCGCTGTTCCTCACAAAGCGGGCGCCATGGGCCCTCTTTAATGTTGCAGTTGATGCCATAGTTGGAAATGGAGAGAAATATTGTTCTGGACAGATAGATGGCTGGATGGGCATACCGTGGCAGAAATAGTGCCTAACCTGTTCAACGCGCGGTTCAAAACGAAACAGCTAAAGGACTGTGGTCTCCCCCAAGCTCTGCATAATAGAAGCTGGGTTCAAGATATTAGGGAGCTCGTACAGTAGAGGTTGCTTGATTACCTCCACATTTGGGATAGGGTGGACGGAATTATTTTGCATCCAGAGATCCCGGACAGATATAATTGGAAGTTAAGCGTGAGAGGATGGTTCTTTATAGTAGCAAGTCTGCCTATGCAGCCTTCTTTCTTGGATCCATCAAGTTTGGGTCGTACAATCTTGGAGAAGGATCTGGAAATAACTAAAACCTGGGCCACACTTGTTGTTGCTGGCCCCCGCATCTGTGCGCTGCCTCGAACTGGCTGTAAGTTTTTCATTTGGTTGGTGGGATCACAACTATTTGTAAGTTTTTCATTTGGTTTGGACTGGTTTGATCGACTAGCAAAGAGGAATCTGCCCCATCCTGAGTCCTGCCCTTTATGTGATCAAGAGGATGAAACAATAAATCATTTGCTAGTGGGCTGTGTCTTCGCTCGACAGGTCTGGTCCCTGGTTTTGCATCAGTTTGGGGTGCTACATTTGGCACCACAGTCTGCTGTAACTCGTTTCTCAGGGTGGTGGAAGAGGTCTACTGCTGCTGTCCCCAAAGAAGTGCGTAAAGGCCTCAATTCCTTGATAATCCTGGTGGCCTGGGAGATTTGGAAGCACCGCAACACTTGTGTCTTTGATAATAAGAGGCCAAGTGTTCAGGAGGTCCTTAGGTCCATTAGCGCGGAGGGGGGGCTTTGGTGCTCGGCTGGGGCTTCCAAACTCCAGGAGCTTGTTATCAGGTCGCAGCCTGCTGTAGCTTAATGCTTGGAGGCTTTTGGTTGTTCTTGATCTTTGGGTGGCGAGTCTGTATCTTAGTGTCTAGGGTGTGGGGTGTGTGAGTTGGGGTGTGTGTCGGGTCTCTAACCCTTGTAACATTTCTTCTACCTTAATGAAATGACACACAGTTCTCCTGCGCTGTTCGAGAAAAAAAAACTTTGGTTCTATGAACCGATATTGTCTATGGTTTTAAACAACTAAAAACTGCAGACGTATGACAAGATCTCTTCTTGACCTGCCTTCTTGTGTCGATTACTAACTTCAAATCTTTTGAAAATGAAAATAAAAAAAACAGGGGCACACAAAAGTTTTCCACAGAGACAAAAAATAATCTAGGTCCACCACTGATAAATTCAACTATGAAGCTATGACTCGCAAATTACTAGCTATATCTGTAGTCCATGCCATATCCCTACTATACAAGTCACAATAGTTTATTACTTTATTTAAGCTTAGAATGCAGCCAAAAGAACCATTGAACCAAGATAAGGGGCTGAATACAGACCTATTTTTCTCCGTATTATTTCCAACCTCCTGCAATTACTTTACTATTAGAAAACTGATAACATAAAATATCAAAAATATTGACATGGAGAATCATATGAATAGCAAAACTACAGAGCACGCCAATAAAGCAAATCTAATACCTCTTCCAACATTTCTTTCAGGACATAATGTGTTCGAGAGAGTACTTCCTGCAAGAAGAAACTCTGCATCTTTTCAGCCATGCCACTGACATCACCCATTAGTGCATATGCATCAACAACCTACATCCATGATTAATTGTTAAAGAATGTTATTCTAACAAAACAGATAAATAATAATTACCATGTTCATCCAAGAACCCATAAAAAGATTCTTGAGAACACTCACAGTTAGATAATTTTCTTCATCAAACATCTGACAAACACCAAGTAAATTAGTGTCCAATTTTTGGAGTGTTCGAGCTAACCATGCCTGCATAGTCAGAGCAGAAATATCATCACAAGGATAAAATATGAATATATCAACTGGAGTGAACAAGCAGATAGCTCGACTTAATTTGAAGGTGCACAAGATGTTTCTGTTTGAACATACCAACAGTGGATAGATTTAAGTCAGCTAACACTTCTCAAATTTAAGGATAAAAATATCTCAACAGCAGAAGACAGGCTATAAGAGGTGAACAAAGAAAAAGATAATTACCTCTATACCTCGTCCCATTTCTTGTACAGCAGAAAGGCCTGAATAATTCTCCAAAATTTGCAAATATTCAGGCAACAATTGGAATGCCTAGAAACATCAGTAAGATATCATTAGAAACCTAACAATTATTACTGAGGGACCACTGGTATTTGACAACACATAAACACATATACTAAGCTTGTTCAGGTCGAAAAGCAACAGACCCATATTCCTATAGGCGATTTATGGGTCAGAAATTTATCATAGCAAGATTAGAACGAACAGCTGCTCATATCACCCTAGGTTAAAGAAGTCTACTAATGATGAAGGAAGATAGAATAACAATAGCCAAATCAAGCTCACCTGAAAGTAATTTTCTTTCTCAACAAAAGTTTCAAGTTCCATCTGCATGTCTAGAGCATGACGAAGCTCTGTAAGGACAGGAAGAACATCCTGCATTACACAAAAACTAAATCTTTTTATTTACAGATCCTCGATTCAGTTTACCTAGAGCTAGTGACAGTGGAAGAGAAAAGCATTTGAATTTACTATGTCACAAATAATTTTCTCCTCAAGACATCAATTGATAATAGGATGGTAATTTAGTGGTCTACAATGATTGGTTGGGTGCAGGCACCAGGCTTCCAAAGTAAATGCTGCAAATTAACATGATATAACAGATAAGAGCAAACACCTACCAGCAAAGCTTGTTTCTTTTTTGATTTTACATTGACAACCAGATCCCTCGACACCTCATTCTTCGAAGAGGTTATATGCCTTCGTCCATTCTGAAATATTGATCTAATTATAAGGCCTAGAGTCCTAGATATAAAACAATGTCAGAAAGGACAAAGTTTCACAAGATATTACCATGCAGATTACATTTGCAACCTTTAAGTCTTGTTCTAATTCCATCACTAACTGCATCCCCTTCACTGGCCAAAACTAAATATCAGTAATCTGAAATGTCCTTAAAAGGAAGTCAATAAAGATCACATTTTGGTAGCATAACTGAGGCTAAAGCAGCATTAGATGTCTTCATTATTTCATAGCTAAAGGGCATTAAAACCTGAACATGTTGAAGGAGATGAACATTCATGAAAAGTATCAGTTGGAAACAAAAAAGAAAAGGAAAGGCATGCAACTGAAAACTATCCAATCCTATGCAGAGAAAAGATAACTAAACACTGAACCTCTTCTCTACTCTGGTGGGAGACATACCCATTTCTTCATGGTGACCCATAACATGGTGTGATAATCTTTCTGCAATCTTGTCAAGCTGCGCTAATCTCAACGTAGACTGAAAAGAAGAAAGATTTACATTAGAAAAATAGATGACGTTAATTTGGTTAAGAAGCACACGTTCATGCAGGTGGAGCAGGACATTTGGTACCAATTACAGTTAATGGATAACTAGAATGCTTCTAAACGACAAAATGGGAACGGTTTCTTCTACAGAGGTCATAGCTCTCATTGTTGAAACCGACACCAAACCATTACAAATTTAGCTATGTGCACTTTTGCATGCACACATTACTCAAAAGTATGGTACACGTAAGTTTTCTTAGCATGCACTTAGCTCATAATGTCCTAGAAATGAAAAACATAAGTTGCTGCCACTAACCTGCTTATCGAAATAGGTGGCATCGCTGCCTTCGTCCGGAATATTTTGCAGAATGTACTTTATTGGATCAAACTCCTGTGAATAATTCAAATTTCAAACTCAAAACACATCAATACTGAAAGCAGCAGACAACCAAATATATGCCAATGCAGTACCCACCTCCTCATAGAACACCTCCTCGAGCTCCTCCACCGGTTCGCCCTGGGGGTTGCTCCCATAGATGGAGACCAAGTCCTCCGAATTGGACGGCAGGTTGATCCTCTCATGCGGTGGCAACCCAGCGATCGCGCGTGCCGCAGCTGCTGCCGCTGCAGCTCGTTCTGGAACCTACAGAATGTGCAAAACAAATGTGAGCGACGTCTACCTCATTGATCCGACAATGCGCGAGAGCAAGCCATGAAAGGAGGGAGAAAGCGTGAAGGACCTCAGGGCGGGGAGGGGGCGCGGTGGGGGTCGGTGGGAGGAGGCCAAGGGAGCGGGCCGAGCGGACAGAGCTGAGGAGTTTCTCGCCGACGCGGGAGAGGTCCATGCCGCCGCCCTGGATCAGGAGCAGGGGCAGGAAGACGAGCGGGCTGGGCCCGGACTCGAACAGGTGCTCGCCGCCGCCGCCGCCGCTGAAGAGGGATGACGAGGAGGAGGAGGCTGAGGGGGCGGTGGGTGGCGGCACCGCGTCGCGTCGCATCTCAGCTGCGCCGCCTTCCGGGGGCCACCTCGCCGCCGGGGACCATGTGAGGGAGCGCCGCCGGCTGCTCCCAGATCCGCGCGGTGGTTAGGGTACGCGCGCGCCGGCGGTGGCGCGGTTTGGCTGGATCGCCGCGGGGGAGGGGGTGACTGAACAAGGTCGTTGGTCGCGTCGGGACCGGGAATTCGCGGGATGTGTAATAATAAAGTGGAGAGGAGACTGGAACGGGAGCACGGTGAGGTTGAGGTAACACGGGAAGGGGATGAGACCAGTCTCTCTCTCTCTATATCTCTGTAACTGTAAGCGAGTGATGACTTGTCTCCTGCTGTTTTTTCAGGATTTCCAAATCTAATCATTTTCTTTCAAAAAGCACAGTAACTAATGAAGTTCCAGCAAATATACTATCAACTGTACAGTTTACATTTTCGCTTGTCCGTGCGTTTTTTAAAGACTAAACATAATTTTTTCTCCATGTGTACCCGGGGCTCTGTTTGGGTTGGCACTGTTAACTTGCTTAGACTATCTCTAACAATAACAACTAAAATACAAGATCCATTCAACGTTTTGGTAGCGCTGCAGTCAAATGATTTAATACCCATTCGACATCCTCTCCAACAATAGAACCCAAAAGAGAATCATTTCTGCAAATGGGTTTTCAGGAGAGAGGATAGTTATATTTGGGTTGTGCTACTTATACAATCAAAAATAGGTCTCACATATAGGTATTCTGTTGGAGGTTGATTTTGGGTCTCTTGCTATCCATTTTGAGTTTGGGTGTCCATATAGATCACCTATTGGAGACAGTATTATACAAATGAGTTGACCTATGTTGGATTAAAGAGAAAAAAGTGATATATATATAAAAGTTGAATCTATGTTTAAAATGTGTCGGGTGACTACCAACGATGCATTACTATATCTAGCTATGATTGAGGTAGAGATGCATGCGGGGGAGAGATCACCTTCCATCTTTCTCAACTTCACAATAGGTGAACATAATAGCCAACTATTCAACGTAAGCCAATCTACAGTCAATTCCATATACAACATTACTACTTTATTGTACCTAGTATTTGTTGTGGGTCTTAAAATTTATTTGATTTGATTCAAACAAGAAGGTTGAGTATGTAGGATCTCTGGTACGTCTAGAGGGGGTTGAATAGGCCTATAAAAATTCAACTCAAACCGAAGTCAAATTCACCCGCGGCACTACCGCTCTGTGAGCGCGGCACTGCCGCACCTGCAAGAGAGATTAGTTCACAGTTCAAAATCTACCCAACGAAATTTAGATCGGGTAAAATTTTTAGCTTTCTGCAAGGCAGTAGATCACAGATCGACAGCTGAAAGTGATGTGAACACCACACAATAAGTAGATCAGCCTCAAACCCTAAAATCACCTTAACAACAATAAGAAAACAAGTGTAGCAACACAAGCACAAGATGACACAAGGATTTATCCCGTGACTCAGCTCGCCACCAAGGCTGGCCTAAGTCCACATTGTTAAGGTATACCACTAAGGCTTAGGGCTTTGATATCCTACCTTGTTCTCAAGTCAAAAGAGTGAACTCTTGAGATGAGGATGATTTTACTCGCTGCAAGAGGTGGTTTCAAACCTTCCGGGGCTGCCATCAAACTTGGCAAACACACCGGGCGACGCTCTGGCTGGTTAGGAGCCAAACTCTAAGAGTAACAAACACAACTGCCGGTCAAAATGTGAACCAAATGCTCTTTAGACTTTGAAAATCAGTGGAGCTACTCTCTAATCACTATTGGCATCTTTTTCTCTCGAGGATTGATGGGAAAGTCAAAGGAAAAGCTTGAGAGCTTGAAGAGCACCAATGGAGGAGAGAGAAGATGAGCACCTTCTATTTTTCGTTGGTCTAAACCGTTGGGGAAAGAAGAGAGAGGCGTTATGGAGGATAGGGAAAATTATAAATACCCCCCGCCTCCCAACGGTTACCTAAGTGCGACAGTGTCGTCTTAAATGCGGCAGTGTTGCGGTGCGGCAGTGCCTCTCTCTAGATGCGGCATTGCCGCACCTAGCAAGATAGCAAAGGTGAAGGGGTTATTAAGTTGGCTATCTTGACTGAGGTGTGATGATATTTTGTGTAAAGATTGGGTATTTGGTTGCACATTTTTAACCAGTTGTAGTGTCCTCCTTATAGTACGGCTTTTTTTCATACTCAATTTCAAAAGACAAAAGAATTCAAAACTCCTTTAAGCGCGATGTCATCCTTAATTATATTTGGGGCTCCTCCTTTCCATGTAACATCCTCTATAATGAATTCCCTGCTTATTATCTTATTAAATCACATTAGTTCTCTAATTAGGTGGTCATCAACACCAAAACCCATATTAAGGCTTGATTGTACCTACAATCTTCCCCTTTTGATGATTGATGACAACCCAATTAGAGCTTATAAAAGATATGAAATAAATAACTGAGATTTTTTTTGAGCCATGGGTGTAGAGCTATCGGGTTCATAAACCCGGGGTCCCTCATGGACCGACTTCCCAGCAAAAGGCTCGGCCCAGCAGATAACGTTGCGAACAACGCGTAAACTCTTAGATTGGCCCAAGTACCTAAACGACAGGTCGTAAGGGCGATCTGATCTCCGACCGGAAGGCTTGACCGAGGAGGAACAACGACCGCTTCTGACTCGGCCGCCTCTCTCCGACCAGAGTGCTTGCTTCGGTCTCTAGCCCGCCTCCGGACTGCCTCTCCAACCGGAAGGCCTTGATAAAACACCACTTCTGACTCTGACCCGCGTCTTCGACCGGGAATGCGTTGAACCCCTGCTTACCGCTCCTCTCCGACTGGCGCAATCAGAGCCGATTAGGACCAACCGATCGGGGACGCCCGCTCGGTAGCGACCAGAAAGTGGACGGAGAAAGTAAGGCAGGACACTCAAGTCAACCGCAATATCGAGGACCGTACCTTGTACACCTACAGGACAATACCCTGCGACCTCCCTAGTATGACAGAACCCAAGCAGTGTTGTAGGCGCCGATACTTTCCCCTACAGTGTTGTGGGCGCCATCAACTCTCATACTAGACAAATACGGTAAGGCTCCCCCCACATGTCTCTAGACATCAACAGTGTTGTGGGCACTAGCATTTACCACACCAGACGAATAAGGTAAAACCCTTATATGCCTCTAGGCATCAACAGTATGACAGGCATCGACGTTTGCTATACCAGAAGAAGACAACGCAACCTCCCACGTGCATCTAACATTAAACAGTAATGTGGGCGCCTACCATCATCTTGTCAGCGTGGGCAACAAGATTTAGTGGCATACGCACTCTCTCCCTCTCACTTATAAGGCCATCCCCTTCATCTATAAAAGGGGATGCACTTTCTCCCAAAAGGAGACTCAGTTCAAATAGATTGATCAGTTCACTTACATTGATTCACCCTTGTAACTTTAGACACTCTAAAATTATATCGAGCATACACTCGAACACTTAGTACATAGCGGGGCTCCCGTCACTCTCGGCCCTTCAGATCAGAGTCTGATCAAACCTCTTGTACCCCCCATCTTTCTCCCTTCCGTTTATAACCCCATAGTAAACTTCGAGCACCTAGGCTCAGGAATAAAGTCTCCGACCGACTCAAGCTAGACGTAGGGCACGTTGCCTGAACCAGTATAAATCCTATGCCATTGATTACTAGGCCACCTTTGATCATAATGTACAACAAAACTACAAATATTTACGTGTTGGTCACTTTCTGCACCGACAGTTGGCGTCGTCTGTGGGGAAGACGTTGTATGTTCAACACTTTTTGTCATCGGATGGTCCACTTTTCCGCCACCTCTATCCATGGCGGGCTCAGGCGATACGACTCGCTTTGGCTCACTAGAGTTTTCCGCACTCCAACCTGTTGGGATGTGGGTTCCATTGCAACACCTCTGGTGTTACGATCTTGTTTAGCACCACGATTTATGCCTAAAAAAATTTTCGTAACAAGTTTCTTGGGTTTTTAATTTAAAACGTACTTGCTGCAATAAGCGAATCTTGTGTGACTTAGTTTCGTGGACTCAAATAAACACTCATGTTAAATTACGCAGTGCGTAAAAATATTTAGGAATGTCTAACGACAATTCTGGCGAATGGTTTGTTCTATTAGATTAAGCATGAAAAGCAACTTTTATAAATAAAATAAAATATATTAATAATTAGAATAATATATATATATAGTCACGTGTTTATTTTGATAAGCATGCTCAGTTGAAAAGCTTTGGTTTAGTGACATGTTTACGTTTACGTATAGACTCGTTTTAGTCCCTAAATAAATTGGTAACGTACCCGCGATAGCTGCCGTCTTGATCGCTTGAATCACCCAAATTATTGTGTCACACTACGCTATCGAGTCAATTGCTTGCTCTTTCTTTTTCTGTCTGCTTCTACGCAAATAGGATTCTTTACCGGGTTCATTTCGCAAAAACGCTAGACTCATAGGTTTACAAATAAAGGGTATAGTTAATTTCAGAGAAACTGAGGGGCCTTCTCACAAAATGTACCACCACCATCCGCGTGTGGTAATGGTTGCTTGGTTGTTGGGCCGTTTCGCCCCAGCAAGACTAGGGTTGGCCGGTCATCGTCGTCGTCGCTAGGGCAGGCGCTCGTGTGCCTGCTCAAGTGTCTGGTCATCTTTGGGCCGCTTGGGCCCCTGCTTTCCCGCTTTGGGCCACAGCGTCCTTATTATGTCATTGGTCGTGCTCGGCTATAGGCCAGCGATATGTCTATTATGGGTCTCTTGGGCCAATTTAGTGGCCTTGCCAAATTTTTTTTTCATTTTTAAGGTGTTTTCTAATTTAAAGCTGAAGTAAACTTGTAAAAATTCATAGCAAATTATAGAAAAATAATAAAAATATCAAACTAGTTTTGTTGAGTCTCTAAAATCATGATCTACTTGTTAGTATATTTTGTTCACATAGTTTGATAATATTCTTGGAAGCTATATAATTAATTTAAGGTACTTAATATTGTAAA